TTCATTCAGACCCCTACTGGGGGCTTCAAAAAGTCTGGGAAAATTCCATGATCTTTTCATTCTGGTACTTGTAGAAGCCCCTCCTGGAGCTCAGGGACACATGCTCCCGTGCTGTGTGCTCAAAGCAGGAAACTCGTGTGGGCACGTTATCCCCTCGGAGGTGGTAGCTGAACGATCACAGTCCCCAGGGTCTGCCACATGGCGAACAATGAAAAGTCAAAGCCGTCAGTGTGACTTACCTGACTGTCCACTTGAGCCTGTTTTTATACACCTGTTAGACACACATACGAAACAGCAGAGCACCTGGTACTTTCCCACACGGCCCAGGTCATTAGGAGGAAAGACAGCTGGACCCTTGAGGACACCCATGCGCCCCGCCTGCGTAGGCACAGACAGGTCTGTGAGCTTGAGGCTTAGGCTTATTCTTGACCAAACTGGGACTCAAAATTTGGACCAAGAAATTGGTTCTTGTCTGGTTGATTACCTTTTTTTGGTTATTGTTTTTAAATATGTATTATTGATTAAAGCACATCCTTCTTAGAAGTATAACCAGACTGCTTCTTAGCAGCAGAGATGGCAAGACTTCATCTCACATACTATGGATCTGTCAGGAGACACCAGTCCCTGGAGAGGGACACGATCAACAAAGTAGAAGGGCAGTGGAAAAGACCCTCGAGGAGATGGATGGACACAGCAACGGCGACAGTGGGCTCAAGCAAAGGGACGGTGGTGCGGTGGCGCAGGACCGGCAGTGCTTCAGTCTCGTAAGAACCACCTGCAGCACCTAATGACGACACTGATTAAAAAAACAAATGCATAAAATAGTAATATATCATTTTTAATAACCATCAAAGCACCATGATATGGGGCCCTGAACTAATGCTCCACAGAGCATCAGAGAGCAGCTGCTGGCCAACAAGAAAGCAATGGCACACCCACGGGGCCCCTTCTGTCACAGTGTCCACGTTGCTTTGATCCAACCCCACGGGACTTGAACAGCTTCAGACATCCCGACTGGGAACACTAGACTTGTGGCAGAATTTCATTGTCTTAACTAAGGCCACGTAAAATTACCAACAACACTGCATATGACAGCGAACAAGGTTTGGGGGACGGTGGTTGAGCACTCACTGGACTGAGAGTTCCAGGTCTACCGAGAGGCTCCCTGGAAGAAAGGCCCGGCGATCTACTTCTGGAGAAAGTGACCACAGCACTGAAAGCCCTGTGGGTGTGACTCCTCCCACACACGGGAGCCAGGAGCAGGGACTGGCCGGACAGCCACTGGCTCCATGACCCACATCCTGGGATGCCGACTCCTTGTTGCCAAACGTAGCTGCTAACCAGTTACTTTAAAAAAAATAATAAATCGTTTCAGTTTTCCTTCCAAAGATGGATGCTTGAGAAGACACGTCTGTCTTACTCACACCAGCTGAGTAACATGGGAGAAACAAGAGGCTGCCCACTCGTAAAGACCGACCGTCTTGGAGACCCACAGGGCAGTTGTGCCCTGTCTCAGGGTCGGTGAGCCAGAAGCGACTCAATGGCAGTGAGGTGCACTGAGTAGCAGCCAATTTCCTTTCCCGTGGTTGAGAATGTACACAGCAAAATAGGCGCCGATTCAACAGCGTCTGCATGTGTTCAAAGACAACATCCTATCAGGTGTGCTGTGGTTCTCGCCCTCCTCTTCCCATGGAGACAAACTGCCACCTCTAAGCTTCCTAGAAATTTACTTTTAAAGTGAAGACACCAGGAAGTATACAACAGAGTGTAAACACACTCGGGGTCAGGGTGAAGTTAGTACTATTTTCTAAGACATGTCCTTTTTTTAATAGTCAAACTACTGAGGAAAATTAAGTCATTTAAAGTGACATCTGGTGTGTTAATTACTGCTGTTTGGCAAGGATGCCCTGGTGGCACTGTGGGGAAAGCGCTTGGCTGTCAGCTCAAAGACCGGTAGTTCAAACCCGCCAGCAGGGAAGGATGAAGCCATCTGCGCCTTTGCAATGTTGGGAGCCTTACGAGGCAGTTCTACCTTGTCCTCAAAGTCACAGATTCAATTCTCACTCACAACCACCCTCGGGGGCAGAAGAGAATTGCTTCTTTAAGTATCCCAGACTGTACATACCTACAGGAGTGGAAAGCCCATCTTTCTCCAGCGGAGCAGCTAATGGTCTTAAACTGCTGACCTTGTGGTTTGGCAGCCCAATGGCGTAACCCACTATGCCACTAGGTCTTATATAAAACACTCACTAGGCGCCACCATTGCCTCTAAACGTGGGCTTGAGTTTGGGTGTGTCTGTGTCCTTTGGTCCAACAGCATTAACTGTTGTGATGCAAGCCTGCCTGCATAAAACAATTTTTGGAAGGAATGACTCAAGTGATTTTAAAAACCAGCCATTGGATCCATCTCGGGATCATCTCAGGGTTTCCCTCACGAAGGGGGCTTTGTTTCATCCAGCCTGCGGGCACCCCCGCCTCATCCCGCGCCCACAGGAGCGCTGGACCAGAGGCTGGCCGAGGGTGATGACCGCAAGGACGTTTGGAAAGCGCCTGGGATTCTGACCGATGCTGGAGTTACGGCTCAGGAGCAACAGGGACACATGGGTGGCGGGCAATTCTGAATGTGGGAGGGGACTAATACCGCGGCTGGTAGCCGCCCCTCCTGCTGAAGGCGCGCTCGTGGGCTATGCCACCATGACCCCTCTGGCCAGGCAGCTCTGCGCAGGTGTGCCAGTGCCCACCACTGTCGGGTGGGGACTCAGCCATCTGGTCCTGGCTCTGGTGCCCTCTGCTCGGTTTCTCTGCGTGCAGCACTCTCAGGAAGGTCACCCCATGTTCATACCGCTCTTTCATGCGCTGGATTTTCTCCCTGGGCACCCCGTGAACGTTCCTTCTGCGAGGGGAAGGCGAAATGCACACAGTCACACAGTGTCTTTCACCGCCAGGCCAGCATTATCACGTCCACCCCGGGCTTAACTGGCAGAATGGCATGTCTGGTGTCTGGGCTTGCTGTCTCTCAGGGCCCACCACCCCCGCACTCCCACCACCCAACCCCCTCGGAGCTGGCAGGAAGCCGACCAGAACGGCATGCTTTGGGGATCTGGATGGGAGAGGAGCCACAGGCCCTCTGATCTCAGGTTTGCATGTTCATAGCATGCAGAGGGCAGCCCTCTGCCCCACCCGATCAAGATGCTTATCAGGCACCTTAGATTCTAGAGGCTATCTGGATCCACCAGCCCCAGAAACTTCTAGATGATTGCTAACATCTTAGATTCTAGAGCAGCAGGTCTCAACCCCTTTGGGGGTCAAACAACCCTTTCTCAAGGGTCGCCCCATTCATAACAGTAGCAAAATTTTACTTATGAAGTAGCAATGAAAATAATTTTATGGTTGGGGGGGTGTCACCACAACATGAGGAACTGTATTAAAGGGTCACAGCATTAGGGAAGTTGAGAATCACTGTTCTAGAGGGTATCTACATTGACCACCCCAGAAACTTCTAGGTGACTACTGACACCATCTTAGATTCCTAAGGATCCCCGACTCCCCCAGGACATGGTT